TATTAATACCATATTTTGTCAGAGATCTTTCGGCAACATAGAGTGGAGTTGGAGGTTAGCTTTCTGAGGAAAAATTATTTCCAGATCCCCTCTATAATTTCTCCTCAGATGTCAGAAGTCTATAATGAGGTTAAAAAGCATAAATTTGAACTTATTTGTGTTGGACTTAGACTAAATCAAAAAACACCATTTTCAAGGAGTTTATTAATACTGTATTTTGTCAGAGATCTTTCGGCCACAAGAAGTGGAGTTGGAGCTTAGCTTTTTGAGGAAGAATTATTTCTAAGGATCTCCTCTATAGTTTATTCTCACATGTCAAAGCCCTACAATGAGGTTCAATGGCATAAATCCGAAGATATTTGTGTTGGGCTTAGATTAGATCAAAATACACAATTTGCATGGGGTTAGTTAATCACGTATTTTGTGAAATATGATTCGACCACGAGGAGTAGAGCTAGATGCTAGCACTTTCAGGAAGAAATTGTCCTTGGAATCCCCTCTATAGTTTCTCCTCACATACCAGAGCTCTATAATGAGCTTCAATAACAAAATACAAACTTCATTGTGCTGCGCTTAGACTAGATCAAAACTCACAGTTTATATCAATTTTATTAAACATGTATTTTGTGAGAGGTCTCTTGACCATAAGGAATGCAGTTAGGAGTTGACCTTATGCGGAAAAAATATTCCTGGGGAGTGGTAATTTCTTTCATTCTCTCACAAAAATCCCCTCCGATGAGATCCAATGCCCCTAATGTCCACTGCTTTCTGAATATTTGTCTAATAATAAAGAAAGCATGTAATGCGCATATAACAGCGGATTTGGGGTATTAGACCTCATTGTATGTACTGAAGTATATTACGTAGAGAAGATTTTGAGGAATTTTTCTCCGATAACCTAATTCCTATATCCACTTCTTGTGGTCGAAAGTGCTTTTACACACTGGGTAATTAACAACATTTTTATATCAATTTTCTTAAAGTTATTTGAGCAACCTCAGAGAAGTTGGAATTCATACCATAACCCCTCTTTGTAGAGATTTGACAGGTGAAGGTAAAATGTAAAGTAGACTTTAAGGAATACTTCTTCCGAAGATAGCTAAGTTCCGCAATAAGTGATGGCATGAGAAAATACTGCCACAAAAATAAATAATTATTACAACCAATAAGGTTAAAGATGCTACATCACAGACCATTGTAAAATCCGTCCGTATTGAGGTAGGGTTTTCAACCATAAAAAGCTCCGCCACGATTTAGCTATCCATGGAAGAAGTGTCCCTAAGGATGTTGTTTTTATTTCACTTTCAGCCATAAAGAGGCTAACATGGGTTCTAAGGCTCAAAAATCTCAATAGAATTGCTTTTGAATTGAGAAAGCCGTCCAACATAAGACAAATGTAAATAATGGCTTGTGTTGTTGTTGTATTTTCAACTAGAAAAAGTTGCAATAGGGATTAGTTATAGCTGGAAGAATTAATCTCTAGGATGATACCTTTATTTCTTTCACGGTCGTTAATAAGCTAAAAAGACCACAAATGATCTTAAATAGCATTTTAGTGAGGGGTGAATTGATCAAATTGTTAAAGACGTACGTCGTTGATCAAATTGTTAAAGACGTACGTCATAGACGATTTTGTAGTCATCTGCATTTGGGGACAGTTTTGAGCTACAAGAGGATGTGGTAGGGCTTAGCAATTGTCGGATGTAAGCTGTCAGGATTTAATCTCTATTTCATTCTTACACATCAAAAGGCTAAGATGGGTCCTAAAACCCAAAAATACTCCCTAAGGTGTTACCTTTATTTCTTTCACAGGCGTAAATAAGCTAGAAGCTGCGGCAATGGCCTTAAATTGTATTTCTTTGAGATGTACATATATTTGATTGAAAGGAACGCCCCAGATAGTAATTATCCCTATTGAGGTAGAGTTTTGAGCCACAAGAGGCTGTGTTAGGGCTTAGCTATTGTTGGCAGACTTAATCCTCAGAATATCAACTTTACTTCGTTCCCACACATCAAGAGGCTACGATGGATCCTAAAGCTCATAAGTGTCATTAGAATGAGATTTGATTGAAGAAATGTGCCATATAAGGTAAGTGTAAATAATCACTGGTGTTGTTGTTGTTATATTATCAAGCTGAAAGAGTGATGATAGGGGTTTGATATACTTGGAAGAATTAATCCGTAGGGTGCTACGTTTATTTCTTTCTCAGACGTAAATTAGCTGGAAGGATTACAAATGGTCTTAAATAGCATTTGTGTGAGAGGTAAATAGATCAGATTGCTTAAAACATTACAGTACAAAGGATTTTAAAATCATCCGGATTGTGGGAGAGTTTTGAGATACAAGAGCATGTGGTAGGTCTTAGCTATAGTTGCAGAAATTATTCCTCAGGATGTTGTCATCATTTCTTTCTCAGACATAAACGGGCGTTGCTGGGGCCCAACGCCCAAAAATTATAGTTCTTTGAGAGGTACATACATCTGATTGTTAAAGACGCCACAGTACAGAGGATTTTAAAATCATTCGCATTGTGGGAGAGTTTTGAACCACAAGGAACTGTGGTAGGGCTTAACAACTGCTGGAAGAAGTATTCCCCAGGATGTTGTCATCGTTTCCTTCTCAGACATAAACTGGCTTTGCTGGGGCCTAATGCCCAAAAATTACAGTTCTTTGAGAGGTACATACATGGAAGAATTTAAGAATTGTTAAAGACGCCACAGTACAGAGGATTTTAAAATCATCCGGATTGTGGGAGAGTTTTGAACCACAAGGGACTGTGGTAGGGCTTAACAACTGCTGGAAGAAGTATTCCCTAGGATGTTAAATTCATTTCATTTCCACACGCCAAAAGGCTAAGATGGGATCTAATGCCCAAAAAACGCAAAATATTTAGGGTGATTTATATTAATTATACCCTTCACCACACTGTGGTACAGGGTATTATGTCTTTGTGCATATGTTTGTAACAGGCAAAAATAATCGAGATAGACCCATGGTTCCTTTTGAGAATATGCATAGAATCACTTTCTAAGTCGATTTATGCATGTCCGTCCGTCCGTCCGTCTGTCTGTCTGTGCATGTTAAATTGTAAACAAAGTACAGGTCGCATTTATGATCCGAATTGGATGAAATTTGGCATAGGTCACTTATTCGGCCCAAGGACGAACCCTATTGAAATTGGGAAGAATCGGTTCAGATTTAGATATAGCTCCCATATATATATTTTACCGATTTAATGTAAACGGTCCCTATATATCTCTCGATTTGCACGAAATTTGGTACAGCCTAATCATTTAGGTCTAGAATGATATGTGCCAAGTTTCGTGAAAATCGGTCCAGATTTAGATATAGCTCCCATATATAGTTTCGTCCGATTTCATGTAAATGGTGCACCAAAGTCCCTATATATCTTTCGATTTGCACCAAAGTTGGTATAACGTACTGAATTGAGCCTAGAATTATGTCTGCCAAGTTTCGTGAAAATCGGTCCAGATTAAGATATAGCTCCCATATATAGTTTCGTCCGATTTCATGTAAATGGTGTCCCAAAGTCCCCATATGTCTTTCGATTTGCACGAAATTTGACATATCGTACTGAATTAAGCCTAGAGTGATGTCTGCCAAGTTTCGAGAAAATCGGTCCAGATTTAGATATAGCTCCCATATATAGTTTCGTCCGATTTCATGTAAATGGTGCCCCAAAGTCCCCATATGTCTTTCGATTTGCACGAAATTTGACATATCGTACTGAATTAAGCCTAGAGTGATGTCTGCCAAGTTTCGAGAAAATCGGTCCAGATTTAGATATAGCTCCCATATATAGTTTCGTCCTATTTCACGTAAATGGTGCCCCAAAGTCCCCATATGTCTTTCGATTTGCACGAAATTTGACATATCGTACTGAATTAAGCCTAGAGTGATGTCTGCCAAGTTTCGAGAAAATAGGTCCATATTTCTATATAGCTCCCATATATAGTTTCGTCCGATTTAATGTAAATGTTGCCCCAAAGTCCCTATATATCTTTCGATTTGCACGAAATTTAGCATAACGTACTGAATTGAGCCTAGAATGATGTCTGCCAAGTTTCGTGAAAATCGGTCCTGATTTAGATATAGCTCCCATATATAGTTTCGTACAATTTCATATAAATAGTGCACCAAAGTCCCTATATATCCTTCGATTTGCACGAAATTTGGCATAACGTACTGAAATAAGCCTAGAATGATGTGTACCAAGTTCCGTGAAAATCGGTACAGATTTAGATATAGCTCCCATATATAGTTTCGCTCGATTTTAGGTAAATGGTGCACCAAAGTCGCTATATATCCTTCGATTTGCACGAAATTTGGCATAACGTACTGAATTGAGCCTAGAGTGATATCTGCCTTGTTTCGTGAAAATGGGTTCAGATTTAGATATATCTCCCTTTTAATTTAGATTGATTTTAAGTGATTGACGCACCAAGGAACCAATAGGAACAAAACGTTCTGAAATTAGTATAACCTAACCTGTGACAAGTTTGTTTGAAATCGCTTAATATTTGGATAGACCTTCCATATATATTTTTTTGCCCGATTTCAAGTAAATTGGGCATCAAATTCCTCATGTTAGTCAGATCGACATCAAATTTTGCACAACTTACAAACTTGAGCATAGAATTACGTAGTTGGGTTTTGTAGAAGTACAGACATAGCCCAACGGATGACCTATTTTTATTTGTTTGAAGTCGATTTACATACTTTATGGATAGATCTAGGTAGATTCACATGTAGATAAATATCACATATTTTATTTCATCCAATTTCATGTTAATAGTCCTGTTTAATATACCCATAGTGGTGAAGGGTATCATATAGTCGGCCCCGTCCGACTTTACTGCTTTCCTTACTGGTTTTTTTTGTGAAAATTTTTTTGCGATTTGGTCCTTCGACCTATGGTCTAGGACACATTTTATTGCAAATATTTAATAATGAAATTTGTCTGTATAATTTCCACAAGTTATTTCAAGCGCTTAATTATGCCTTGACACACCACATTGCCAAGATATTTTCCTAGCTGATAAAATGCCAAGGTGACATTAAAATCGGTACTTGGAGCATAGCTTGGTATTAATTCTTCATTTACGCTCAAATCCGAAATGTTATAGAGGACATTCTGAAACAAAAAAGAACATACATTTTTTTATGATTTCAAAAAAATAATTTAAAAAATGTCTCCTCTCCTACCTTCCTTATGGGACACGCCAATGGCAAATTGCTGTGATGTATCATTTTTCGCAAAAATACCATTACCAGCGGATTTGTTTTTAAATTTTCCAAGGCATCGCATACCTTTAGTTCCATATTTAAGAAATGTACAACTTTTTGACCACCTAGGGGTCGAACATCAACCAAAATACGAACATATGTATTCGGGGGTAATTCACGATTCAATGCAATTAGAAAACTAAAGGCATAGGTATTATTGTCCACCATCTCAACATGACATTTATGTTGCAGCACCCAATCATTGCATACTTCACAGCGCACATCCTGTATATCCAGGGAGAAGAGGGATTTTTTCGACTGGAATTTCAAAGAAAAAAGATTATTAGGACTGAATATCTTGAAAAAATAAAATGCCATAATGTGAGGGAGCTTCAGTGGCGCCCAACAGTTTTGGGAACATAATAGAATAGATTTGGAGAAAATTATAAAATATGCTGAGTGGCGCCCAACAGATTTTTTGATTAATGTCTTCTTAGAATTAAGATCAGATGTTTACCTGAACTTCATAGAAATATAAAATTATTATAAATGAAAATAAAACCCGATACAAAACCAACATTTTTAGTCGAATGTGTGCCTTCGAATATTATTGAAAAATTCAAAACCACATTAAAAAACAATTGAAAATTTTTATTTTATATAAAATTATTAAAATTTGTCAGGTATTAAATGCATTTAACGTTTCATATCGCTATTTATCGCTATTTAGAAAATGAGATCATTCAGAGCCTTAATGACAACAAAAAAAAATATTTAAAAACACAGTGTAACACGAAAAACCATCTCCGAAAATATTGGAAAACCAGTAAGGAAAGTAATAAAGTCGGTCTGGGCCGACTATATGATACCCTTCACCACTTTGGGTATATTCTACATATGGGTATTCTCATTTTTTTAATTCCATTAAATCGAAATCTGCATTTTAAGGAAAATTAACACACACCCTTCTAGACTTAAGTCAGTACGCTAGGTCAAATTTTGTGCAAATCGAATGGTATATAGGGACTTTAGTCCACCATTTACCTAAAATTGGACGAAAATATATATGGGAGCTATATCTAAATCTGAACCGATTTTCAGGAAACTTAGCACACATCATTCAAGACTCAGTTCGGTACACCATGGCAATTGTCGTACAAATCGATGGATATATAGGGACTTTAGTGCACCATTTACCTTAAATCGGACGAATATATGTATGGGAGCTATATCTAAATCTGAACCGATTTTCCCGAAACTACGCACACATCATTCTAGGCTTAATTCAGTACGCTATGCAACTCGCATGATAAATAGGGACTTTAGCCCACCATTTACTTTAAATCGGACGAAAATATATATGGGAGCTATAGCTAAATCTGAACCGATTTTCACGAAACTTAGCAGACATTATTCTACACTCAATTCAGTACGATATGCCAAATTTCGTGCAAATCGCATGATATATAGGGACTTTAGTGCACCATTTACCTTAAATCGGACGAAAATATATATGAGAGCTATATCTACATTTGAACCGATTTTCAGGAAACTTAGCACACATTTTTCTACACTCAAGTCAGTACGATATGCCAAATTTCGTGCAAATTGAAAAATATATAGGGACTTTAGTGCACCATTTTCCTTAAATCGGGCGAAAATATATATGGGAGCTATATCTAAATCTGAACCGATTTTCAGGAAACTTGGCACACATCATTCTAGGCTTAATTTAGTACCCCGTACCAAATTTCGTGCAAATCGAAAGATATTTAGGGACTTTGGTACACCATTTATGTTAAATCGGACGACAGTATATATGGGAGCTATATCTAAATCTGAACTGATTTTCAGGAAACTTAGCACACATTATTCTAGGCCTTTTTCTGTAAGCTATACCAAATTTCGTGCAAATCGAAAGATATTTAGGGACTTTGTTGCACCATTTACCTTAAATCGGGCGAATATATATGGGAGCTATATCTAAATCTGAACCGATTTTCACAAAACTTTGCACACATCATTCTAGACTTTATTCAGTACCCTATGCCAAATTTCGTGCAAATCGAAAGATATTTGGGGACTTTGGTATACCATTTACCTTAAATCGGACGAAAGTATATATGGGAGCCCTATCTAAATCTGAATCGATTTTCACGAAACTTAGCACACATTAGTTTAGGCTTTTTTCTGTAAGCTATACCAAATTTCGTGCAAATCGAAAGATATTTAGGGACTTTGTTGCACCATTTACCTTAAATGGGACGAAAATATATTTGGGAGCCGACGACAGACGTATGGACGGACGGACATGCATAAATCGACTTAGAAAGTGATTCTATGCATATTCTCAAATGGAACCATGTGTCTTACTCGTTTCCTTTTGCCTATTACAAACATATACACAAAGACATAATACCCTGTACCACAGTGTGCTGAAGGGTATAAAAACTCAACCATTTTGGAGGATTATTTTCAGCCTCAAGGAGTTGCTATGGTGGTTCGCTTTCTTTGGATGAATTATTCTCTGATATGTATTCTTTATTTCTTTCTCAGAAGAGAAATCTCTAAAATGAGATTTAAAGGCCGTAATCCCTCTCTTCTCTGAGAGAAACTAAAATTGGAATGTTGAAAGCGTCATTAGATATATGGAAATGATCTTTGCTATTGTAGGAGTAATTTCAAACACAAGGAGTTAGAAACGAAGTTTCGGAAGAAATATTCCTTGATATGTTTTCTTTATTTCATTCGCCCACATTAATGCTGTAGTATGCGATCTTATAGTCAGAAAATTATTTTTCGGAGAGTGTCGTCTATTTGAGTGTGAAATTTGCCATTATTGAGAAATGCTAATTATCGTTTGTGTTGTAGTTGTTGCATTTGCAACTACAAGGAGTTGTTTTAGGTGTTAGCTATCCTTACATGAATTATTCCTTAGGGTGTCTTATTTATTTCATGCTCAGTCATGAATTGGCTATCTGCACAATTAATGGCTTAAAATCACAATTTGTTGAGAACCGATTCAAATTGATTTTCAAAGTCGGCGATATTTGTCAATTAAAAAGCTACTTTTTGAGGGCTATTTTCGGGTACAAGGAGTTATTTTCGACGATGGGTTTTAATGTAAGAAATGTTCCTTGGCATATTTACTTTATTTTCTTTTCAAATATCAAAACTGTAGAGTGGGATCTAATGGCTCAAAAGTGGACTATAATCTATTTGTTTATCAAAGGTAGCTTATATAGAATTTTAAGAACTTTCCAATTTTTGGCGGATTATTTTTAGCCTCAAGGAGCTTGCATGGCGGTTCGGTTTCTTTGGAAGAAATATTCCCTAAGATGTGGTCTTTATTTCATTCTCAAAAGAAAAATTTCTAGGGTGGCGTTAAAAGGCCGTAACCATTATTTCTTTGAGAGGAATTTATATTTTTTTGTGAAAGGCACTATTCACTATATGGAAATAATCTATTGGGTCGGAGGGTGATTTTTAAGCCCAAGGAGCTGTACTGGAGCTTGGTATCCTTTGGAAGAATTATTCTGTGAGATGATATCTTCATGTTATTCTCACACATGAAGTTGCTAAAATGAGTTTTAATGTCCGAAATTCTAATTATAATATGGGAATATCAGAAATTTGTAGCCTCCTATATGATACAGGGGGCAACTGTACCGAAAATTAAGAAAACTAAAGGGAATTAAAATTGAAATTTATAAGTCTATAAAAATCTTAGATAGACCCTTAAAAATATTTTTTAATAAATCCACGCCTTAGATAGACCCTTAAAAATATTTTTTAATAAATCCACGCCTTGAAATATTTCCTTAAAAATATTTTTTAATAAATCCACGCCTTAGATAGACCCTTAAAAATATTTTTTAATAAATCCACGCCTTAGATAGACCCTTAAAAATATTTTTTAATAAATCCACGCCTTGTTGTGACCCCTTAAAAATATTTTTTAATAAATCCACGCCTTGGATGGTCCTTGAAAAACTATTCTTTAATAAATCCACGCCTTGGATGTCCTTGAAACATATTTTTTTTTAATAAATCCACGCCTTGGATGTCCTTGAAACATATTTTTTTTAATAAATCCACGCCTTAGATAGACCCTTAAAAATATTTTTTAATAAATCCACGCCTTAGGTAGACCCTTAAAAATATTTTTTAATAAATCCACGCCTTAGATAGACCCTTAAAAATATTTTTTAATAAATCTACGCCTTGTTGTGACCCTTAAAAATATTTTTTAATAAATCCACGCCTTGTTGTGACCCCTTAAAAATATTTTTTAATAAATCCACGCCTTGTTGTGACCCCTTAAAAATATTTTTTAATAAATCCACGCCTTGTTGTGACCCCTTAAAAATATTTTTTAATAAATCCACGCCTTGTTGTGACCCCTTAAAAATATTTTTTAATAAATCCACGCCTTAGATAGACCCTTAAAAATATTTTTTAATAAATCCACGCCTTAGATAGACCCTTAAAAATATTTTTTAATAAATCCAGGCCTTAGATAGACCCTTAAAAATATTTTTTTAATAAATCCAAGGCTTAGAGAGATTTTTATACCCTTCACCACATTTTATGCAAGTCCGTCGTTCCGTCCGTCCGTCAGTAAATGTTAAATTGTAAACACAGTACAGGTCGCATTTATAGTCCGATTTGGATGAAAGTTGGCACAGCTCACTTATTTGGCCCAAGGACGAACCCTATTGAAATTGAAGAAAATCGATTCAGATTTAAATATAGCTCCCGTATATATTTTCGTCCGATTTAATGTAAATGTGGCACCAACGTCCCTACATATCTTTCGATTTGCACGAAATTTGGCATATCGTACTGAATTAGGTCCAGAATAATATGTGTCAAGTTTCGAGATAATCGGGTCAGATTTAGATAGAGCTCCCATATATATTTTCGTCCGATTTTACGTATATGGTGCATCAAAGTCCCTATATATCCTTCGATTTGCACGAAATTTTGCATAACGTACTTAATTAAGCCTAGAACGATGTGTGTTAAATTTTATGAAAATCGGTTCAGATTTAGATATAGCTCCCATATATATTTTTTTGTCCGATTTTAGGTAAATGAGGCACCAAAGACCCTATATATCTCTCGATTTGCACGAAATTTGGCATAGGGTACTGAATTAAGTCTAGAACGATGTGTGCTTAGTTTCATGAAAATCGGTTCAGATTTAGATATAGCTCCCATATATATTTTCGTCCGATTTTAGGTAAATGAGGCAGCAAAGTCCCTATATATCTTTCGATTTGCACGAAATTTGATAGAGCCTACTAAATTAAGTC